TGTGACATGACTTTTGAGTAAAAAAGAAGTGCAAATATAATGGTCTTTGACAGTTCCTGTTGCCAAACACATATTGCCTTTATGGTCACTGGAAACAAGGTGCCCATTCAAGAGAAAATTTCACCATTATCTGAAATAAATTACTACTTTTTAGCAAGGGCAGTGGAACTATCCTGAGATTCTCTAATATTAGGAACTGAGCATACCAAGAGGAAAGCTGATGATCTGTACCAAGGAGCTGGGAAGAACCTGTTCCTTGGCCTTAGACATTATGTCATCAACACAATGCAGGTGTAATGCTGATGAAGTAGGCAACAAGGTTAATTTTGTTCAAAATACAGTAGGCTGCATTTTCAAAAATTAGTCTCTAATTTAGTTAAATTACATAAGAAAATGAACCCACCTTAACTAGATTTATTTGTAAACCGAGCTAAAAATTCTCTATTGGAAAGAGAAGCCAGCAGCACAACTTACTAATATGTACTACAATTACTTCATCTCCACAAATCTCTACTACAGGATTTTAATGTGTCTTGATAAATCACTGTAATTTCTGGCAGCCATTCTTCGTAGAAAATGATAGCTGCTTGTGTCAGTGCACACCTTCCAATTATTTACTCAAATAAATGACAAATAATGGCAAATATTTGCTTCATACTTATCAAAAGTGCCTGAAATTCAAAACTTTTTTAATGCATCATAAATATTACTCATGAGAGATTATCTTCTAGAGAAACAAACATAGGTTTTATTCGAATTTCAAATTTTTTTACATCATTGTACCTTATCAGAAGCAGTGGATGGTCAAATATCTATGACAACTCTAGTGGAAATGCAGCAATTTAATGGGAAAATGACTGAAAGATCTACTGTGTGCTTTTCTGCAGAAATAATTGTGAAATAAGTTCAATATTAAAAAAAAATCCAAGTAATACCATAAATTTACCAAGTGGATGATCATCCCAGCATTAAACCTGCACTTGGATATTCTGCAGGCAATAACACACCCGTTTTTACTCCAGCAGATAAAGCACAGTAGATGCTGCTGTTCTGTCTTAGCATGACCAGATATGAAGCATTTACAGCAGTATCTGTCTGATCTTACCTAAACAAATAATCTGACCCCATTAAAAAAAAAACCAAAAAAAAACCCAGAAATTAAGTAGAGGAAAAAAAATTGGTTTACTTCTCAATTAATATATAAATTAACTGAAATGACTGTCAGCAGCACAGTAGAACAAACTCTTCAAAAGTGATTTACATTTTAGGGAAAAAAAAAAAAAAATTGCCCAAAGGAGGTTTACAATATTAAGATAGCCTAAATGATTTAGTTTTTGGTATTTACTGAGAAGCAAAAAGCAGCCAAGTCTGGAAATGGCTGAGATGTCTGGAAAAAAGAAATGAAAGGAATAAAAAACATTTTAACACTGAGGGCACTGAGTGCCAAGAAGCTCAGTAACGAGTATCTATTGATCTATGATGCTACTTTGATTTTTTCTGTGATTCTGGAAAAAAATTATGGTGGTATCACAAAACAGCTAATATTCTCAAACTCTCTGGACAGGGTGCTTCTGCTGTTTTCTGGCTTTGCCCTTAACAGCCTGTGCTATGTGCTACTGCTGACAAGAGGCCCTTGGGAATTCTGTCTCCTTTTACCTCCCCCCCTGGGTCACCAGAGACTTCCCCAGAGCTGCACAGACCTGTTCCCCCCTTGGGATCCAGAGGGTCTCTGCCTTCCAGACTTCCCCTCCTCCACCACAGTAACTTTAGATTGCTCTTGTTCTCCCCAGTAGGGAATGAGGGCTGTCCTGCTTCCAGACACTTCTTCCTTGTAAATGCTCACACAGACTCCATCAGCTCCAAGTAGTGCAATGGAAACCATTACAGAAGCAAATGAAGATGCAGATTAGGACTAGCATGGGTTAAATATCATTAATATCATGAATATCATGGCACAACAGGAGTGAGTATTGCTTGGTACATTTGGAATTGGGACACTGACATCCTATCAGTATCATTAGCAAGGCAGTGGTTGGTGTGATTCAGGAGAGAAGGAGGGCAAGGGGAAAACTAAGTCTGCTCTCTTTTGGGTTAAGTTTAAACCAACAATAAAAATTTAAGAGTTGTTACAAAGCCAACACGACAGAACAGATAACAAGATGAGACTTGCTCATGTAAAAGGTGGCCTGAGGAGGTAAAAACTGATAAATAAAGTTATTTAAATGGGCAAGAACAAAGGCTATTGCCAGTGCCTAAAAACCCACTCAGACAGCAGGGAAGAGGAAGAACATGATGCAGATTAAAGTCCTTTGAAGGAGTTAATATTGAGATACTGTCATTTTGTAGGCAAAACATTAGGAAAGACTGATTGATAGAGATTCCAAAATAACTGAGGTTCAATTCTCCTCTGTAGCATTTTCAGGATTTTATTTTAATCTGTTTCAAATTGCTGCTAACTGGAAATAGACCCAAACATTATCAGTTGTACTGTAAGTATCTGAACTAGGCAACCATTTTAAGTATTTATACTCTTGGGTTGTTTTTTTATCTTTTCTGAGCACTGGGTAAAAAGTGCCTTACTACTGCAAACTAAACCTCTACAGTGAAACAGCTGCTATGGATATTTACAAATAAATGTAAAATATAGCTGTTAACCAAACAGCATCATGGCATCACCACGTGCAGTCATATGGATACTGCCACGTAGCAGAGCATCGGCATTAATGCAGAACACCACTTGAACAAAACCACCACCACGTGAGGCAGGTGACATTAATGAACAGCAGCTTCTCTGTGCAGCTGAATGGAGCCTTGCAGCAGTGTCTGGAAGAGTTCAGTGACATTACACAGTGCCCAAAGGGCCCACGGATCAATGCGGTGTCACTGCAAGTGTCAGAGTTATTACAACGTCAATAAAAGTATAACAACAATGTCCAAAGTACCGGCGAGTAACACACGATGTCAATAAAAGTGTGAGGAGAGGGAATGCAGTGCACCCTCATCAAAATTGGAACCCCTGGTATATCAGAGCAAGATCTCTGCTATGCCAGCTGAACATTTTGAAGTTACCCTATATATTCTCATTTTTTCATAAAACATCTCTAGTGTTAACCCTCCAGATGGACATCAGATATAACAAAATTATTAAAGTCATTTACAACTTCTAAATTAATACAATAAAATTATGTTTACAGCTATTTCATGCCATTCTCTTCTTAAGCATTGTGTGACCTGGATTCCTCTCAGTCCAAAAGAGCAGAAAATGAAGAATAGAATGGCAACTAAAACTTTTAGTGTCCTTTCACACAGAAGCTTAATATAGCTCCTTCATTTTTACAGAATGTATACCAAAGGACAATCAATGCTTGAATCACATTCATTCATTCCTCAGCACAATGCTTTTTTCAGATACAGATCAGTATATTATAATTCTGAATGGAGTATATTCTGTGTATAACTATGTATTAATTAGGAAAAAAACACTATGGATGCTGAATTCTAAACAATTGCTAGAAAATGCTTGGCTAGGAAAAAAAGAAGGTAATAAAAACTGTAAAATATAATTAAAATATTTTAGGATCTACCGCTTTTAGAGCTAAATAAAAGACATGAGAAAGAAAATGTGGTAATTAACTTGTGATGTTTACTTCTAAAGTTTAATTAAATAATCAGTATGTACAAAATAAGAGTTTGGATGCCTCATCTTCTACTCTCTGCCTCCATTTGAAAAGAAAACTGAAAAAAATCTTCTCAGATACCAGTGCAGAGACAGTGAAATCACATTGCAAAAAAAATTAACTTTTAACTGCAATGTAATGTGTCCTCAGCTTGGGGAGCTGGAGAGGTCTTCTGTTCCAAGGTAAGAGGAGGCAGAAGTAAGGTGGTTTTGGTGAAGAATGTGAGGGGTCTAGTATTAGGCCAGAAAATGACACAGCTTCTTCAAAGAGATGTGTCATTTTTACTCACCATCTATTCCAAATATTTAAATTGTGACAGTAAGAACAATTGGGATGACTTCCTGTACAGCAGCAGGACAGGGCACCTCACTTTGGTAAGTACTCAAGAGCTGAATCTTTTCCTGTCTGCTATTCTTTTGTTTTACACATTGCTCATTCTCCATGAACCTTGGAAGTTTGGTAGATTGTATTTAATCTTCCATTGAGACTGGTTATTGAGAAAAGAGAAGCTCTGAATTTAAGAATTGGCAGCAATGAAGAGTACAATCTTGAAAGAATCCAGAGCTAGAACACCTCATTCCCAGGTCCCACCATAAACAGGTGAAGTAATAACTGTAAACACAATATTGTAAATGAAGTTAAAGGAGTAGAGGATCATCTCTCAAAAGCTGAACCTAGATTAGATATTCATTATTATTCACATATTGTAATTTTCCCTCTATTTTCAGGTGAAACTTCTAGAATCCATTTCATGCATTATTACACCATTCCAATATCATATTGCTTTGCAAATTCCTATTTCTTTTCCAATGTACTGCAATTGCAATAAAAGAATGTAGAAACATAGTCATTCTCCTACAAACAAAACCATTCAGTACAGTCTGTGTGCTTTAAACCTCTGTGTACACAACACTGAATTTTGACTCTAAGGTGCTTTAGTGAGTTTGCCTGTTTGTTGTAATCTCTGCTAATTAAGATAGATGTTAACTAGATGGCACTGTGTACTTGAAGGACTGAGCATGACATTTGCTGTCTCCTTAATGCCCGAGTCCTGCATTCCTTCAGCTCACATCCATCACAACAGGACTGCCAGGTGAGCTGACTGTCACCCCAGCCCAGGCTAACAGATTCTCCGCTGGCTTTTGGTACAGCTTATGTCATGAGATTAAAACTCCGTGCCTTGGAAATGACAAAACACACGTAGCTGAGACTTGTCAGCTCCAGGTAATCAGATGCTGCTTGGTTTCAGAAGCAGATGCAGATGAGACTGGCAATATAAATATGCAAATCACAATGGTCCCTTGTCAGCACCACAGTTCCTACCTCTAATGGCCCTCGTAGAAAGTCTGTTTGCTCAGCTCCTACTTCCAGTGCTACATCGACAGAAGCAAAGGGGCGGCTGGCCATCTGCTGTCGCTCCCGCATAAGTTGCTGATGAGGAAAAAATGATGTTTTAACAAAATGTTAAAAAATGCACCAGATATCAGTCTGCCCTACTATTCCTCCCATTAAAACATGAGAATGCAAACAACATGCACACAGTCATATTTGTGACATCGAAGTGAGAAAATTATACTAAATCATAATCATCACCATCTATATTTACTTGAGAAACGAGCACAGGTTATGATGCCTACAAAAGGCCTTTTAGCTTGAACTCTGACAAACTTTCCAAATGAAAGCTTCCCTAACTGACGGTTTTCTCTAAATAACTTTGCTATTTGTGTAAGTTGCAAGCAAATATAGGAAATGGTTAGTAAAAATAGTTGAAGTCTAATTCCACTGATAATGCATGCATTAGAACACCTGCCAAAACCAAGTCCACTTGGCCTTCAAATTTTCATATTTCACAATTATGCCAGATGGAGTTAAGAGTGTCAGGACTCATTTATGCAGGATCTTTCCTTTACTTTCATATGAAGAATAATGTGTCAGGATTGGGAGCTCTGCACCAGCGTATTAGAATACACTCAGCTATGCTCACAGAGCTTGTATAATCCTTTCCAACCATACCAGTGTGCACAGAAGTCCCAAGCAAAACCACAAAGTTAACTCATATTTCTTCCTCAGTCTGTAATTATAATGCTTATTAAACCACAATGAATAAAAATGATGACCAGCAGTAGATATTACAGATCTTACTCCACTGGTTCAGTGCAACTAATGAAAGCATTATTAAATATTAAAGGTGAATGAGTCGTGCAATTCAAGTGGTGTGTTCCTTCAGCTGAACAGGGTGTCACAGCATCTTAGAGAGACAAAATTCTTGCAAAAATGATTTATTAGAAAATATTTGTTTCATTTTCTTAACATTTTTCTCCCTGTTATCTCTGGAAAGCTTAAAGCATTAGAAAGTGGTGTGTGAATGTAAATGACAGTAGCACTGTGACATACTGTTCATAAAAACCTTTGAAATAATAAAAGGTATGCAAGCAAATATTTGCTGGAAGCTTACTAATAAACACTGTTGATTTAAGATCTGTTGCAAAGCAACAAACTCATTTTGTAGAGCTCCTTATGCATATTGCCACGACTTGCATTTTAAGATTGTCTATAGAAATTTAAAGGTGCGCTCGTAACGTTAAAATCAGAAGGGAACAGTTGCCTCTCACTGCACGGCCAGTGCATCCCCAAGGCCTGGATTTTACAGCCATGCAGTGTTTGTCAGCAAGCACCTGCACAAATGGGCTCCCAAGTATATCACACCAAGAGGGCAATCAATATGGCTGTGGGTAAAACTGCATGTTTTATATTGAGAATAAATAAGAGCCAAGTATGAATGGTTAAGAATTGTGTTTTTAACCCTTTACCTCAAAATGGAACTGGTGGTCTCTGTCTAGGATTTACATCAGCATTGATTTGCCTCAATACAATTTGCTAATAGATTTTAAAGCTGGAAAGAGCTACTATGACCCCCCAATCCTACCAACAACCTAGCAAAGATCACAAAAACTTTAAGTATAAAATACTGAGTCACTACAACTTAAAATTACAATATGTACCTCCTGTTCCTCTTAAAATAACAAAAAATAAAGAAAACAGTGTTATTAGAACAGTCCTGCCACATGGAACTCATTACAGTATTCTAAGTCTGCAGAGCTATTGGCAAGTGCTTACTTTTTAATGGGTAACCAAACACTGTTTTAAACAAATAGAATTGCTTGGGGAAAACACTTAAATAAGAACAACCTATGCTCCAAATGCACATTCTACTATTTAAAAGATTTATTTAATGCAAATTATAAGGAAATGTATATTTGATATGTTCTCTGGTTTTTAAGTCCAGTAGGTTTTGCCCTCCTCCTGGTCAGACATTCAGGAAAACCTTTTCATTCACAGGAATATCACTATAATTTTAAAAGTCTGCCATTCGAAAAGAGTACTAAAAAGATTCTTAATTAGCTCTGTAAGCAAGAATGAAAACTTTAAAACGTTTGGTTGCCCATAAAGCGCTGCTGGTTTTGGCAGCTGAGCACTTGCACATCAAAGTGCTTTACTCAAAACACCACTGCTTTCCCTTCATCATTTTAAAACACTCTGCAAGGTGCAGGAAAGGAAAAAGAAGATGCAATGAGGGGAAATACAGGAAGATATTATGATGTTTAAAATCAGTTTTGTGGCTGGAAAGGGTCACTGCCTCCCACCATCTGCAACTGTCCGTGCACCAACACTGGGACAAAGTTCCAGAGCTTCCAGTTATGGGGAATTCCTCTACCTCACCCACAGGGCAAGGAACATGGAAACTCTCCAAACATGTGTTTCATGAGAAGAGTGAAAAAGTTCTTCCTTACCTTCTCAGCAAAGAGATTAAAAAATAAAACCCACCAACAACAAAATCCCCCCACAGATTTCATCACAACTGAGGCAGAATAAACAGGGGATAGTGGAAAGTGAAACTACAATGCTGTTACTTTTATAAATGCAAGCCTAAAAAAAATTACTGAATTTAAAAAAAATCACAAAAAAAATTAAAAATAAAGCCAAACACACTTCTCCAGTAATTAGGGATATTCACTTGGAGACATCAGATAAACAGATAGCATTAACATGTAATATTTGAATATTTTATCACAAATTTAATCTATAGCATTCAGAATGCAGGCACATCTCTAAATATTCGCTTTAAAGTATGGGAAATCAAAAATATAATTTTCTCAGCATAGGGCTGAGAAATTCAAAGAACATTTATTTGACCGAGCAGACAACCAATTTCAAGTTTTACCATAATTTTAAATCTCATAACATGCAAGATTATTGACAAGATTAATTTTTTTAGGCATCTCTATTATTTTGCAGCAATTCCAAAGTAATAATTTATATCTGACCAGAGAGATTTTCATATAAAGTATAGAACTATAGCTGTCTTCAGAGAAGAACAGTAAGATGCTAGGACACTACAAATTGAGTCAATTTCTCACTCAACACAATTCTAAAACATTTCTTCAAAATCCAACCATTTTTGCATAATTATTTCCCTATCATGGAAATATACATTTCAGCTAATTCTGCATGAACATGTAGACATCCTAGCCCATAGATTATGATAATTTGGAGTTTTGGTGTCCTAGTGAAATAAGGATTTTGAAATGGGAACTGCTTTCCCATCTGGAAGTTTAACTCAAGAAAGCAGTTGCCTGGGGATGCAATGCAATTTTACCATTGATCAAAAAAATTCTCATGGGGGATACTCCTCCTCTGATCAATGCAGTTTGGAGTAAATTAAAATGTTCCATAGCATCTTGTAAGCTCTATAAATAAAGAAATTTATTTGTTCCAAAGTTCTTATTTAAGTAGAAATGTTTTGATTTTTTTCTTTCTCTTGGCTGATAACATCGCTTTCAAAATATTTTAATGCCTATATTGTATTCATGTACAATAAAACACTCAATGCAAAATACATATTACAGTGAGCTAACATTAACAGAATACAATATTTCAGCAAACTCAGGCTGACATGTTTCAAGTCTTTTGTATTTTAGGAAATGTTATCATTTTGTTCTTTTTAGTATCTTTTTTTTTTTTTTTCCTTTAATACTTGATCTCTTATGTGGAATTGGATACTGTTCTGACTAGCACTGCTTTTCTACCCTGCTCACCTTCCAGCATAACTGCCCTGGAAAAGCCCTAATTGGAAAAAATCTAATAAAGTGCATGAGTTGTTAGGAACTAGGACAGGTGTGCTTTCTCTTTGTTATACAGTAGCAGACATTCTTGAGAGACTGATAGATTAGGAGAGCTGAAAAGGATGGGGCCATTTTAGTGCCATAATAGGATGAACAGAGCAATCCTTTCAAAGATCTTTCTGTTGCTGTTTGGCACCTCTAATGAGCTCCTGTAGCCCACGGGCAACCAAAGGTACCTGGAGTGTGCCCTGAAGGGTGCACTGAGCAGTGTGCATGCCCAGGGTCACGGGGCAGCTGGACACTGAGGTACGAGTAAGAGGTGGAAAACACCAGAAAAAATGTTCAGGAGACTTCTGGCTGCCAAAAGAGGCAGGAAGTCTCAGTACACTGTTCCAGAAATAAGGGTATGGCAGGTGAAAAAGTGTCTATTATTTTAACAACTGCCTAGGTTTTCTAGTTTTCCTTCCCTCACATCTTAGATGGGTTTGGTTTTCTTCCTAGATCACATCACTATCAATGTGGTACCAGGACATAGATGACTTTGTCAAGGTGAATATTGAAAACCAGGATAATGGTAATTCTGCAACTCTAGGAAAACTGCTGTCTAGTTCACTGCTGCACAGTCTCCTAGTGACAAGGATTTTCCAAATGTCTAATTTGAAATTCCTGCTCTGCTTATTCATCTTGCAGCTCTGACTTGTCTGCAGCTACAACTTGGTCACCTCCTTTGCTGCTTCTGTACTGTCAACTGCTGATGTGAGTAACATCCAAAGGCTACAACAGAAGCGTTAACAATGCCATGCATTAAATCTGAGTTTTATAGGAAAAGTATTTGCGAGGAGGAAAAATGTCAAAACCTCATGGAGAGTAGCACTGACGAATTTCTGATCACACTGCATTTGACAAGCTCCAAGGCTTAAAAAAATTAAGGCTGTATGTAAATGGACAGCCCTGCAAAACCAGAGCCTCTCTTAGCAATGCAATTCACCCATTCATTGAATATTCTTGAAGGTTCTTACTGCTATATGCAATCAACAGAAGCAACTTTCATGGACTTAAACACATCTGAATGGATCACAGATATTTTAGTTAGAAACACAATTTAATTTTCTTCCCAAATCTTAAGTTCTCATTTTCAAACTGAGTTATACATAGTGATATTTTAATGAAGCTCTGATTATTCACTTTAATTTGCACAAGACAAAGCTTGCTTTCTCTGTAAATTTTCTCATTGTAACTCTGGTGTTGAAAATCTCTTCAGATGAAATTGGCTATTTATATGGCTGGAAGGGAGAGAAATTTCTCATT